AATGCTGAAGTGCTTTCACACACAAACCTTTCCTGGCGTGGGAAAAGTTGGAGTGCAGCAGCCTACATGTTCAAGAAGCCAACCCAGGATTTAGGGTTTCAGGGTTTCAGGGTTTAGTGACTCAAGCAGAGACGTTTGAGGGATCCACTCAGCTCTCTGACTCCACTTCCCACCTCCCTATGTCCACCCATCCACGTTCCTTGCGCACTCGAGGTCACGGGTGTGGAGGCCAAAGAGGTGCGGGACGCGGGATGACCATGTTTTTTGTATCTTCGGCCCGTGGCGTTGAGACTTTGGGATCTCAGGACTTATTCTCCGACTAGACTCCGTCGTGAACCAAGCTCGGGTTTGGACGCTTTAAAGCCAAGACTCATTGTTCTTCGGGGGCCTGGAGGGGACGTCTTGGCCAAAGCTGCCAGGGCCAGGCAGAGAGATGCAGAACAAAACGGACTCTTTAGGATGCTTGGAATCTCTGCGCAGGGGCCTTTGAGAAAAAGCAATTTTTGGATGCTTCGTTTCTGCACCGCCGCTCCTTCAAACTCTGTCACCGGATCCCATCCCAGCCGAGCAACAGCAGCCCGGAGCTGACGTGTGCTTGAGAAAGTGCTGACTTCACGAGACCCGGAGCTGAAGTTTGGTGGGGCTTCGAGACAGGCCATGGCACGCAAGCGAGCGCTTGCCGCCCTTGCATTGGGCGTCTGGCCGGCGCACTCAGCTATGAACTGCAGTTTTGTTCAATCGCTGTGTTCGGGGCTGCTGATGTCCCAGCAACTTCCCTAAGCCCGTAACTCCCTTCACAGCCTTGATTGCTGAGTGCGCAAAGGTCCGCGGGCTTTGTGAGCCCCTTTGGAGCCGCACGGGGCATCTCCCAGGCTCGTGCTGCGGCCACCCGCAGGACCGCCCGCTCGTTGGCATGCACTGAGATTCTAATTCCAGTGCTGGTTATAGTTCTGCTCTAGATATGGTACTCGTACTGCATGCTACTATTCGACATGATATAGTTTACAAGTTTAAAGTTATGATACAATATGTCATATGGGTGCACTAAGGTATCTTATCGCGTGTTATAGTATCTTTAGTATATCATAGCATGTTGACGCATGACATATATATATATATGTATGTACCGATATATTTCATATGCGTAAGCTTATCTACAGATAGAGAGAGGAGAGGGCGATAGATGTTGTGCCAGAATTTGTTGCAGCTTCTGCTTTTGATGGGCTTTTACAGTTTACTGAGACCCTCGGAACTCACTGCCGCGCATGTGAAAAAATGCTTGATGGCTTCGGAGACCGTGTCCGCGACGCGGTGTGAAGGCGGTGAAATCCCGCACGAAGGGTGCACAAGTTGAAAGATTTCAACGCGACGAGCCCTTCGTTGTTGCTTTTGTGAAGAGTGTGTTCAGGGCTTTGAATCCGAAAGAAAGGATTTGGCGTCACTCCATGCACCTCTTCCGGACCAGTTTGTGTGCCCAGCTCCCTCGGACTCGCGGGAAAGACGTACTGGCTCCGATGTTGGAATAAAGATATCACACGACTGCAGTGGCAACAGAGCAGACATTGAGAAGAGGGGCACGCCAGCTGAGAGTTGAGGTGGTTGTTGCCTCATAGTATACGCTGTGAAGTGTTTGATTTGGAAAAAGCCTTGCATAATTCTATGCGATGGCATAGTACATGAATCATAGTTATGCTGTTGCTATATTGCTAGTGAAAATTGGTCGTTTGAAGCTTTCGGTTGTGATGTCAACTGACTCTCGAGGTGGGGCGCTGTCTGCAAGAAATATATTGGGGAACAATGCCTGAATCGAGTTCGCAGCTCTTCCATGTGTACGGGTCTGTGTAGTTTAGGTCGGATCTGAGAGACCTCGCCCTGCGCTTCAGTACAGCCTGAGGCAACACACCTAGAGAGAGATAAGGAACAATGAGAAACAACTGGGTAGTTCTCTAAATTAGGGACCCTGTTGCAGTCCCCAGTATAGTACGGCACCCTTATGATAAAGACCCTAAGAGGGACCCTCATTCGCCTGGCAGGCCAACATCGAGGACCAGCGTGACCTTGAGCGGCGCGGCCTGCCTGGCCACGTGCCGTGCTGAAAACCACTGGATGAACTTGAGCAAAGCCCCTCCCCGGTCTCTCATGCTTCGCTTTGAGGTTCGGTCTGTCTGCAGCCCTGGTCCTCAGGCGCCAAAATGCTACGCCAGGTCTGCAAGACCTTGGTAAGCATTTCTTTGAAAGCCAAGCCAGCGTGAGCGTTTGGCTGAGCTTGCCAGTCTTTCCCAACCACTGAGCATCCTCATGATTCCAGCAGCACCTTCAGTCTTTCAGTTCTGGTGCGGGCATGCCTGGTTTCAGAGTCGAAGTTTGGGCCTGAAGCACAACAAGCCTGTACATAGATCTGCGGCCATGCACTGCGGGGGTCGAAGCCTTGCCATGGTGATGCAGACGTAAGACTTGCCTACAGGCCAGCTGCCAGCTCACATGAAAAGAGTTTCGCAGCTCCAAAGCTGTTGACCAGAGGCACGCCGTGATGGTGGTGGCGGTGCCGTCTGGTGGGCCGGGAGGCCCTTGTCCTGCCGGCTGTGAGGCCGGTGACCACCACGCGACAGTATAATCCCTACATAGGTGTTTGTTAAGGTGTGTGTGTGTGTGCTTTTGGGAGGTGCGCGCCGCGGCTCCTCCCAAAGGCTTCGGTCTCTTTGCCTGTTCGAGCTGCTCCGCCTACACCGACATGTTCACGGAGGAGCACCTAGAGAAACGACGTGCAACATTGATTTAAGTCTTGTCTTGTGGATCAGGAGCCTCTTTTTGCTATGCAGCATTCCGGCAATCGTCGCGTGGCCTCAGCCTCGGGTTTGCACTTCGCACACGTCGCGCAGGGATCCGAAGCTGCTTCAGAGAGGTCGCCGCTTGTGCGCGCTGCTGTGGCTTCGTGCCCTCTGTTCCTTTGCAGCTGGAGGCAAAGCCGCTCCCCCCCTCCCCCCTTATATGCCCCAAAAGCGCAAGGGCGGGTGCTTCTCCAGGTGCTTTTCGGTGAGAGCCGCTTCGCTCCTTTGCTGACAGCCCTGGGGGATTTGCCCTCCAGGTGGCAGGAGCAAAGGGCTCCTGTCTTGTGACACTTCTTGGGTGCATATATGCTTGGGCCTTGGGTGCTGCTGCAGGAGAGTTGTGGAGAAGGACAAGCGGCTGTGGTGCGATGCAAGCAAGGTCAGAACCGTGATCAATGCATTCAAAGCATGGAAGAAGATGCCTTCGCAGCTGCGGCAGGCTGTGGTGAAATCTACTGCTCCGAGGAGTGAGTTCGAAGTGCAGTGAATCAGACGTCGCTCATCCGAAGCCGCCAGGCCTGCAGAGATATGCACTTCCAGCACTCTCACAACCTGCTTTGTGTCCCGCGCCTGGTTCCATCACTGCGGTCATCATGATACGTGATTCCATACCCTTCGTCTATGTCATGTCTTACCGCTGAATGCTCAAGGCTCGAAGCACAAAAGCAAACACACACACACACACACACACATATATATATATATATTCACACGTATAAGACAGAGAGAGAGAGCTCCCGATCATGTGCATAGGCGACACTCCTGCAACACGCAAGCAACAGCCCCGGGCGGGGGAAGCGGCCCTCTGGTGAATGTATCCGTGCTGCTTTAACCGGGGTGCTTGACAAGTGTGTCCTCAGTCACGCCACGGCTTGGTCTAATAGTCTAATACTTTCGCTGCAATTCTAACATGCATGCATGTGTCTTGCACAAGGGAACATGCTCGGACCTTTAGTAGCAACATGATCAGCATGACACGAAGCATGCGAACATGAGAGCTTTCACATTCCTTCAGTGCGAGAGCAAGAGAGAGATTTTGTACACTTGTTAAGGCCTTTGTTATGAGTGCGATACCTGGTTGTTTTGTTTCGAAATATTACTAAAGTCAATTTTGTGCGAGCCATTGCCTTGGTCGTGCATGTTCAACCAAGCTATTGGCCCCCGCAACAGGCAGGGGTCGCACATGCGCGCGGCGGGAGGTCAACTCCCCACCAAAGCCCTGGAGAGAGAGTGGGAGAGAGGGGTTTGAGGGCCCTTTACCCAAACGCCCCGCAAGCAAGCAAGCAAGAGAGAGAGAGAGAGAGAGAGAGAGAGAGAGAGAGTGTGTGGGCGAAGGAGAGCTCAGAGCGCCCTGTAGGGTCCCACTTGCTGTTCGGGCCGGCCTGAGGAGTGGCCGAAAGTCTCCCGATGAGCATCCAACAGACGGGCGTCCCCTCACTGGGGCTTCGCCTCGCACGCCCGGTGACAGGGACACAGAGGGTGCAAATCGCTAAGCCAACAGAGGACCTGCCCCAGTATCGGGGGTTCTCTGCGGCCCCAAAGAAGAAAATGAGCCTTCGCATTCTGTGGCATGTGGCATGTACACATGTGCAGATGGCTGTGTGGATGAGGTCGGTCCTTTGACGACGGAGGAGTCCTCATTGGCCCCTGCACGAGCCTCCTCATGATTGCTCTGAATCTGAAGGACCACCCGCTTCTTCGCTTCAAGTACCACGCCCTCGAGCATGCTGACACCCTGCTCTTGGCTGCGCAGGCGGAAGAAGCCCTGCCTGTTGGCAGGGCCTCAGTTTGAAGCTCCCACGCCCAGCCCAGCAGGTCTTCGCCTTCCTCATCAACCGCGCCAAAGCAGCGGGTGGTGGAGCGGAGGTCGTCCAGTCGCGCAGCGTACAGTATGCAGCTCGTCACTGGGCGATCTAGCCGGGAGGTGATGCAAGGCCTGATGCAGGAGCTCTTGTGCTTCTGTCAGAGCCTCAAGTTTCAGAAAACAAAGACGCGATTGAAACGAATCCTGGTCCTACTTCAGGCCATGCGCCCTTTCGGGAAGCGTTCCTGCCTCGAAATCATGAAGCTCATAGGCCGCTACATCAGTATAGCTCTGCTTCCGCGAGGTGCAGACCACCTCCTGGCCGGTCCAAGGACGCAGAGTTCTATGTCGCTTGCTTAGACAGAAAACAGTCCCCTACAGAAGCGACACACCTAGAAGCTAGAGGCCTATAACTTCTAAGCTTCGCGCTTTCAGCTGCAGACTTAGCCTGCGCTCTCAGTGAGGCCCACACAGACGGCCTCGTGAACGAAGCGGCGGCTCTGCTCCGCGCCGCCCTGGAGCCGCACGCCCCAAAGGAGGCCCAGTCCAGCCGAGGTCAGAAAGCGGCAAAGCCGCGCCAAAGAACACCCCTAAAGCCGCCTCAGCTGCGCATATAAGAACCATATGTTATAAATATATCATCCTCTTCTGTCTGTACTTCTTTTATACTCTTCTCTCTCGCATGCTTCTGCAGGGCTCGTCAGCAGATCTTGCGTCAGCATGCATGACCGCTCGAAGCTGTAGGGTCAGACACACCGTTCTGTGTGCATCAATACATCCTTCGAATCTTGATCGGCACTCGGACAGTGATTCGAGACATGCGCATGCGAAGTCAGAGCACCCGAGCTGGAGCCAAGGCAAGTACTGTACTAGGTAGTTCTCTAAATTAGGTTCCCTTTATTAGGGACCTTTTTTCAGAAGGGTGCCATGCACTATAATATGCGAAGAAGCCACAAATTTCTGCGCGGAGATCTGCAGGTTGGAGCGCTCTTTGCAACTGGGTTGGCTTCTGAGATCTCGGCTTGCGAAAAGCAGACCTCCAACGGCCGCGGCTAAGGCCGAGCTTCTTCGCTGAAGTGCTGGGGCTTTTCGCAGCTCAGCCGTGAAAATCTAGGCCCAGAGCATCTGAATCAGGGGTTTTGCGAGCCGAGGAGTACAACAACATTGACCTCGAGGTTTCGACATGAGACAGCAAGGCGGAATTAGAAAGCCTTTCGGCAGGTGCAATCGCCCGTGGGGCCACTGCTCCAGAACCGAGTCACTGCCTTGTGTTTAGCCGCTGCGCATAACGGAACCATGATCTATCAAGCTGGCAGTGCAATCTTATCTGAGGCCAAAGCGCTTGCACCCCACATCTCGAATCCTCAGGCTTCGTGTTGTTAGAGCCGCTAGAACGTGCATTCGTTGCCTTCACCAGCCTTTCCACCAGGCACTAGCTGAGCTCAAGCAGTTGGAGGCCTTGCTTCGGGAGAAGGAATGGGCAGCCTGACTTTTCAAGCACACAGACGCAACAAAGCCAGCCTACTCGTCTTGCATGACTGCCAAGGTAATGCGCTGCATCTGGGGCGAGGTGCGGGCGGGGCTGCACACCTATTTATCCGCGAGGGGGGGGTGGTCGTCAACTGCCACTGCTCGCTGATAGTTGAGCTTGCAGCCTGCTGTCAGATAGGAAACAAGGATGCGTTGCCATCATCAGCATAGCTGGTTTCGGTTCATGATGTTGTTGTAGCTCTCCTCGATGATGCTTCATTTTGCTTACATCCCGGTGAGTTTCTGTATGTCGGCGGCGACGCTCAAATTGTCAAACGTCATTCTGCTGTTGTTTGGACTTCCCTGGTTCCTGACAAATCTGCGACATCTGTCTCTTGCCTGTGCGTGACCACTGCAGCATGCCCTTGAGGCGAAGCTGGAGCTGGGAAGGAGGGGGAGGAAAGGGAGAGGAGGGGGCGAGAGGCAGCGGGGCGGAAGAAAGGGTGGGAAGAGGATGATGGGAACGGGGCACACCAGGCAAAAAGATGGGCAAGAAAGGGGTGGTAGGGAGGGCACAGTTGCTCCTACCTGCCCCCCCCCCCACTTGCTCCAAAGGCCACCGGTAGACAACGTCACTTTTTGCGGAAAGGCGCGTGCACACGCTCATTAAGCAGACAGACCTTTGCACGTCTTTGCACGCTTGTCTTCGCATTGTTCTGCTCCTGCATCTGGATGGGTGTGGCGGACCCGATGCGTGGCGGCGTTGCTCAGCGAGAGCCCTGAGCTTCCCTGAACCACTAGAGTCACTAGAGACCTATCAGACTCTCTAACCCTAAACCCCTAAATCCCCCCCAAGCCCTATGAACCCCTAAAGCCCTCAGAGACCGGGAGCCCTTTTGGGCCTGGGCCCGGGGACTGCAGGAGACGACGGGGATCTTCGGCCCCCGCCTCGTCATCTCGCGACCGCCCATGGGGCCCTCGGCCTGAAGTCCTCGCGACCGAGGCGACGAGGCCGACGTGGCGAACGCGCCGGGCGATGCCGAGCCGATGGACAGCCTCATGAAGGCCCCAAGACGATTTATTGGGGCAGCTCTGAGAGAAGCTCTTTCTGTCTGTGCTGCGGGAGAGGCTGCTGAGCAGGGCAACGATGCCGAGGTTGCAAGTGTCCGGGGGCCTATAGCACAGCATGTACCTGCGAAGGGTTGACAGGAGTTCGTGCAAGGCAGCCATGGCCCAAGCCACCGCAGAAGTTGCCGGGCTATCCCTCGAGCAGCTGCTGCAGGCAGGGACCGGAGGAGGGGCGGCAGAAGCTTCCTCCGAGTCTACTTGTGAGGGCGTGTGGCCGCAAATGCACGGGACGGCGCTCTTCGCTTCAGTGCCTTGCCCGGGAGAAGGCATCTTGCAATGAAAGTCACCTGCGCAGCTGCGAGGTTGCTCGCATGAACCATTCCTGTGCCTTGGCACTCGCTTTCGGACCCTTCCAGCGACACAGGTCGTGCTTTGCACTGCATGGTATCTCTGCGCTGTCCAGGTGCGCCCAACATGAAGGCAACTTGACCGCACAGTTAGGAGGGTCCCTTGCAGAATCAGTAGCGTATGCAACTCCCACTGTCTCAAGCCAGCGACGGTGTGCAGCTAAAAAGGTGGCGTTTCCAGGAAACTCGGCCCGCTTGACGGCGACTTCCGCCGCGTGCCCAGAATGGGAACCCGGGTCACGAAGCCCCTGGGTCTTATATTCGGGCCTTGGCATGGATCCGATGATCTTTGGTGATTTCAGGACCAAGGCTTCTTCGCCAGGTCACTTTCAAGTAACAGAGCCAGTATCATGAGGGTCGCCTCGCACTTTGAAAAGCCCTGAACCTTGCATATGTAAGACCTCAAAGTAAGGTCTTGAATATCTCGCCGGGTGATGAGCTGTGTATCTGCTACGTCAACCAGGCATGATGAGTCTTGCATGGCTGTTGACATCGCTGTGCTGAAGACTCTACAAAGGAAGCAGACGTTCAAACACGCAGACGCAGGTGCAATGGCAGAGAAAATCGTGGTCCTGCAGAATGGCTTCTTATTGTGACTTGACTCGAGGCTTCTGGAATATGGCTTCACGTGCACTTGCAGCAGGTGTTTGGCCGAGGTGCGGACAGAGAGTACATGTGCCGAGCCCTGCGATGTCGTGTGGCGCCAGGATTCTGCGACACTTCGAAAGGCTCAGAAACGGCTCAAGTGAGTTACGTCAGCTACAAGCGCGCTCCTCTCAGCGCCTTTACCGCCTTTACTCTTTACATTTTCGAGAGCCACCCCGGCTGCCGGGACGAGACTCTCTCTTACGGGTCAGCGCTGGCCCACGCAGAAGAAAAGGTCTCTGCTCTCGGCCTCTTACAACCTCTCGGCTCGGACGTCCCGCTTCAACTCATCAGCTGCAGGCGATCCCCAGGAGTTGCTCGTGAGCTCATGGGTGGTGGCAGCAACAAGGCCTCGCGATGACACGACGATCGATGTGCTACCTTCCGCCGGAGCATGTTGGCATGAGTTCGTATGTCATGTACGCACGAAGCACATGCAAGGATGTGGCGCAATGACGTGGATGAAATGGTTCGACTACAAGTTTCTAGTTTCTTAACTGCAGCACATACAGCCTGTGCTTAACTGTTTACGACACATGCACAAACCTACTATGAAGTATGTACGTGATGTCATAGGGTTTAGGTAGGTAGGTATTGGGCGGGTGGGTGGGTGGGTGGGTGGCTGGGTGGGTGGGTGGGTATGTTGTGTGTGTGTGTAAATACTGGTACTCACACAAAATGATCAAGACAGATGCACATGCCCGTGTAGACAAACATGCATGCCTGTAAGCCAGCCCTATCTGAATCAAGACGAGAAGAGCACGTCTTCGTTCGGACCTGGGTATTTGAAGCTTGGGAAGCTGCTTCTAAAGAGCAGGAAGTGGCTGGCGACAGTATCTACGACTTCCAGGCGGAGCGCGGCCTCGCCAGTGCTCATTGCAGCTCCTTTGACCACTTCTTTTGAGGTCAAGAACATCGATGGCCAGGAGGTCTCGCTGCAGGAATATTCGGGCAAAGTGGTGCTCATCGTCAATCTCGCGAGCAAATGAGGCCCCTGCTCCATGTCTGCTCCGTTTGCGGTTTCGACGTTTCCGTGGAACCTGGCAAGGTTTGACAAAGACCAATTATGCTGAATTGTCATGGGCCGAGCAATACTGCACCAGCCTTTACCGAACCGCCGTAGGAAACGAATTTGCCAGGTGTGAACTTTATGGAAAGTACCGATCTCGAGGATTCGAGGCTCGCTTTGCAAGAGATCATGTCTTTGATGCGTCTGGTCCATGCCGGGCACACTTCAGGAATCCTTCCCCAGAACTGTACTGGTCCCTGTGGTGAGTAGTGCTCCTCCCTCGGACGAAATCACGACAGGCTTGGCACAGACAAGTAGGATCTGGAAGCGATTGTCCCCAAAGCACTGCCTCTTGTGCGCGGCCTCCTATTGCCGCAACCTGGTGTCTGGTGGAGGTGCTTGGATTTCCGTGCAACCAGTTCGGGGGCCAGGCGGGCAATGTCATGTCACAGTCACGTCGAAGCTGCAACAGACCATAAGCCAGGAGCCGGGCACCAATGCCGAGGTCAAGGCTTGTGCGGATGGTGCTCAACAGCTTTCTTCAATTCGGCTCAAGTGTGGAGTTTGCGGCTTTCGGAAGGCTTTTGCCCAGTCCAAGTGCCCGGACACTTTCCCCCTTTTCGCGAAGATTGACGTCAACGGCGACAACGAGGCCTCACAGCGACGCGCAGAGGCTCATTGATGAAGCTGGTGAGCTACAGGCTCCTTTGTACACCTTCTTGAAAGCCAAGCAGGGAGAGCTGTTCGGGCCTCAGATAAACACCGCTTGGCAATGGGTCGGCTCTGCTGCAGCCGGTCTTGTCTCAGGCTGGGAAGCGACATCAAGTGGAACTTTGCCAAGTTCCTGGTGGCACGGGGCTCTTCGTAACGTCTGCTTTTTCATGGACAAAAGACCTCTGTTGAACTGAGATCACAAGGCTCGTCAGCATCACCACCAGTGCCAACATAATCACAAGCCTTGCGGATTCGCGGCATTTGGCCGACAAGTCAAGGATGTGCCTGCCTTCACTGAGGACCGTCAAGGACAGCCTGTGGCTCGCTTCGGGCCGCAGCAGGCAGAAAGCTGTAGTTCCTCAGAATGGTGGGACTTGCTGGCGATGGCTGCAGCGATGACAGTGATGTTGACGACAACTACTTCTAATTGAAAGGCGGTGGGTCCAAACGAGAAAGAGGGACTAAATAGTTTTTTTGCTGTTTTCGGTGACGGGCCCGGGCCTGAGCAGTGCAGAAATCGCCCGGCCCGGAAAGCTCAGCATTGCCAAAATCTGTTTCCATCATTGGGACTGCTACTTTTTGCTGCTGCTGCTGCTGCTTCTACATCAATGATTGCTGCTGATATCGACAGCGAACACAACCACGATTGCCATTTCGCCACCACCGCTACTCCGATTGCTTGTCACGAAAATCTGGTGATGCCTGGGCGTACAGTCACTGTCGGGTCTTTGCGCTGCTGGCGCTTCGTTATCCATGTCTGCATCTGAGTCGCGGCATGGCCTTGGTGGCCCTGTGCAGTCGCCGAAGTCCTTCGAAGAGGAGATCGTGAAGCTGCTCTAGGCCGTCTAGGCCTAGACCGAGCCTAGAGAGTTTTAGAGAGTTTTCGGCCCTTGCGGCCCTTCTCTTATCACAGGGCAGTCCGGACAGGACCGCAGTGACGAACGGCGAAGAAAAGCCTCTTTTAGCTATCTGGGGAGCCCAGCCAGTTTCACGAAACCATAGATGACCGCACCAGCACATAGCTGCAGCGATTGATGAGTCCCACCGAGCCAAGCAAAGAAATCGCATCCATGTTGAAACCTGGGCTGGACTTAGCGGCTTGACGGGTCTCTGAATGCTGTAGCCATCAGAGTGCGGAGCATCATGGATGACTGACGGCTGAGCCTGTGCTCCTGCCCGAAAAGCACGTCCGCCGGCACGCATGGGACTTTGCATGTTGATACTGACGGGCCGCACGAAGGAGACCCATCCTGTTCCACGCTGCTCCGGTCTTGTTTATCCTTGTCCTAAGCCACCTCAGAGGGTCCCGAGCATTCGAGAAGCTCCTGGGTGATGTAACGTTTTGTCAGGTGATACGGTAGCCTGAAGTCAAGACAGGTACCTAGTTTTGCCTCCGACAGGCCCCTGGTGGGAGACGTCACAAAACTGCGCGGGGCTTCCCCATTTTCCTACGCTGGCATGCTGGGCTAACTCATCGAAAGTCCCGACCCCCTTGGATCCACACTGCCTTTCGAGCACGCCACCTGGACAGCGACGGAACCTTCCTCCCATATCCAAACTGCCAGGTCGTTTTCTCGTGTGCACCGACAATGATACTGCAACATCGAGTGCAGCACGGACAACCAACCTGGTCGATGTCGCTTAAGGCAAGCATTTCATATCCCTGAGAGAGACTCAGAGATTCCATAAAGGAGAGGTGGGCGACCAATTGTGCTCATGCTGTTTTGTGCCGTCGCCACGCACGAGCATCACGAGCCTATTTTAGTTTGGCGCTCATTCTCCTTTCAAGGCTCTCATCCCCGTCACTTAGGAGCACTTGTGTGGTGGTCGTTGGTGGTATTTCAGTTTGCTGATGCAGAAGCACGGTTTTGCACTTCCGCTTGTATGCCGACTGCGAACGATCAAACTCGTCTGGCAGGTCCGAGACAGCACGTAAGCCAAGCATGTTGACCCAGATTCGTGGGCGTTTAGAGTGACAGAAGATGCGTCTTGGACACATACAAGTATACAAGTATCCACCGAGGGCATCTGATCTGTTGCATGTTGCGACTTGGAGAGTCGGTTCAAGCCGGAGTTGAGACACCCAGAGGAAGGAGGAATGCAAGGATATTCTTCAGCACTGTTCAGATTTCACGATGCAACCTGGGGCCATGCCCTAGCCCTGGGCTTCCCAAGGCAGGGAAGCGAAGACGGGAGATTCTTGAGCCTTCTTGGGCCGAGCTTGTTTGGGAAGGAGATGAGCCCCGGCGGCCCAGTTAGATGTCGTTCCCGCTTCCACCGAAACCGCGTCGGCGCTTGGCAGACTTCGACGTGGATCCGGAGGCGAGCGGCCTTTGGAATCACTTTAGACATCAAGAAAGATTCAGAGTTGGCACATGCAGCTGGGAATCGAAGGTCATAGGCGATGGCTCCCTGGCATTGGTGCGTGTGGCACAGGAGAAAGCCAGCGGCAAGAGGTATGCTCTGAAGGCGGGGTTGAAGTAAAGGTCTCTGAGACTGAAGAGTCGTGTGCAGGCCTTCGATCGCAGACTACTGCGAAGCAACCACAAGGAAGCCGACGTGACTATCGAGGATCCCCCCCCCCCCCCCCC